CGAGGGCGCCGCCTCCTTTGCCCCCGCTTACTCTCATTCTAGTGTGATCGTCACTCACGCTCTGTTTTCCTCGCCCGGCGCTCTCGGGGTTGACCTCCTGGCTGAGAAATAAGGATAATTAATGATGGCTTTTCGTGGAAGTCTCAGGGAGTCACACAGAACGAGGGGTCCCCATGGCCAGCTCCAGCCGCGTGCTGGGCGCTTTGGCCCCTCGGTTCAGCCATTTCCGTCCCTACAAGTTAGCCAGAGAGCCGATCTCCGGGGCGCACAGCGGGGCTCTCATTTATGGAGCGGGGACTAGACCGGCGTGGGGAGCGTCAGGGGAACAGCGCCCGGCGCAGGGAGAAGCCGAGCGACGCGTCCAGGTGAGCCGGGAGGTGTTCCCACGGCCCCGGAGCGGCGTCCCGGCCAACCTGTTGGATAGACACCGGGCGGAGTGGGGAGGAGGGACGGACTCACCGGCGGTCGGGGCACAGCTCGGAGGCGCCAGTGGGCGCCGCTGGCTGGGTAGCTGTGCTTGACTCTCCTGTCTCCACGTGAGGTCCGACGTGACCGGTCCTGGAGGAAAACTGCGCTCTCAGCCGAGCGCTCCGGAGCTCGTTTCCTCGTCTCCACCCGCCACCCGCTCTGTCCCCTTGGCTAAGGCAGCGAGTGGCCGCCCCCACCCTCGCTCGCTCGCTCGCTCGCTCTGAGCCATTGGCGGTCCCCAGCACCAGCTGTGGGGGATGCAGGGAGCTGAGGGAGCTGAGGCGGGCGGAGGAAGTGAGGCGGGCTGTGACTGAGTGTTATATTCATCCTGAAGACACTTCAAGGATCACCGCATTAGGTTCCCGTTGCCCTGAATCTGTGTGCTCCCAAATCCAGGGAACAAAAAGAAGAAAAATTTCTACTTGCACAAGTCTGCTAAAGCCAGGGTTAAGGCAGTTATGACATTAACTGCTTGGTGTGGCATGATTCAAAGTTTTTTTCATTTCCAGCAAGCACTTGGGAATACTGCTTCCTCCCCCCCAAAAAATGTCTTTGCAAGAGGGAATGAACCACATTCATTTCCCCCTGCCACCGCCCCCCCCCTTGTAAATAGTTTTAGAAAATCTATACAAAGAAGAGATGAGCAGGCAGCTTGACACACTCTGAGAACTGCTTCATAGATTGACTTGAGGAGTGGCTGTTTAGTTCTGGCATTGCCAGCTGGCTGTGGGAACGCCAAGGGCCTCAGTGCCTTCCTCACTAGAATGTCAGGTTTTGATAAAACACCCAGTATTTATTGAGTGATTATCTTCTACCAGGAAATTTTAGGTCATTTACTCATTTAGTACCTTTATTTATTTATTTATTTATTTATTTATTTTAAATCATAATAACAATACTATGAGGTGCCAGTATACCCATTTTACAGAAGGGGAAACTGAGACACAGAGAAATCATTGGTTCAGTCATACAGTCCAAATTCAACGTCAGGATGAATTGTCAGAGGCTGCCCTCATGAACACAATGCATGGCAGATCATTTTTGTGTGATTTTTAAGTAAAATTGAAGTGTGGTTGCATTTATTTATTTATTTGTGCTTTTCCTGATCTTTCCCAAATGTTTTTTAATTTCCATTATGTACTAGGCACTATTTAGGTGCTTCAGATAGATCCATGAAGAAAACAGGCAAGAGTTCACAGTTCTGTTGAGCCGTATTCATTACTGTGTGTGAATAACTTTAATGCATGATTAGCAATAATGGCTGCCCTAGCTTTACAGATGGTGGTGAGGAAGGGGGAAACCTTGCAGAGGAGAATGACAGCTCTGGGTGAGAAGCAGGGCTTGAAAGGAAGC